GTGTATCGCCCAAGCACATGGAGAAGAGAAGTGGATCGCCGATCCGAGAACGTACGTGGCAGGGGGCGTGGCCGATCACACAGCGAAGGATGCTCGGAATGTTCGAAAATCGCCGACTCGTATGAGGTTGATGACGATGGATTTTTACTGTACTGCTTGTCTTCTTCTTCGAAAGCAGACGAAGATTGCGACAGGGTTACCAAGCTGGTGATCCCTGCGCGACTTCGTCAGAACTTCTTGCATCACTATCACGCGAGCTTCGAAGGAGAACACCAGGGAATCGGAAGAACATATGCCATGATCAAGCAACATTTCCACTGGCGAGGCCTGTTCCGAGACGTACACCGATACGTGGGTGAGTGCGTGGACGGTGGAACAGGGAAAGCAAGACCTACCATTCAAGGTAGGTCGCCCGTAAACCTGCAAGTCACGTACTCGTTCCAGATCATTGCTATGGATCACATCCTTTCGTTGCCAAAGTCGTACAAAGGAAACACGGAGCTTTTAGTCTGGGCAGACTCGTTCACCGGTTATGTGGTCGCGAAAGCGAGTGACACCCGAACGACGCAACAGATCGCTGAAAGCTACGAGGAGAGTGTGTTCCGTTGCTTTGGTGCGCGAGAGGTAATACGACATGATCACAAACTTGGGTCCATATCCGATGTCTTACGCGCGTTCAATCGAATAGTTGATCAACGACAGGGCCCGACGATGGTTTACCGACCCCAGGCCAATGGGACAGCAGAGAGGATGGTGCAGACGCTGACCCGTGCAGTGAAGATGTATGTCGCCGACGTGAATCAAAAGGACTGAGACGAATATGCAATTTTGAGAGATGGAGAAACGAGGGAGCAAAATAATGTGCTGATTGGTCAAGATTTATGAGTTCAAAGCTGGCGCTTGCGTGAGGCAAGGAGAGAGGCAGTTCTAGATGGAAGCGGAGCTGGCAGTTGTGCGCTCAAGGAATGACCATAGGCTCGGAAGTGGTTATTCAGGACAAATGGTCGTCCAGGATAGATGGCCACCCAGGATGAATATACATCCAGGGTGAATGGTCACCCAGGATTGAGAATCATCCCGGATGAAATGAACCACATGGTCCGAGTCATCGATACCTTGACGTCAGGTGCACCAGGAAGGTAGAAGAGCGCCCTGAAGAACGTATCTCG